TCTAGTCAAAAGGAGGAAGGCAATTATAGGAGCACAATGAGAGCTGAAGGCTGTTTGCAGGAGCTCTCCTAAGAGGAGTGCTATGGCCATTATCGAACTGCCGCTAGGTATTAAGGTAACCCCCGAAATAAAAACCCCATCTCTCATTCCTTTTGCCTCCACTTTCTTGCTGGCGCATCACAGTGACCTAACCCAATGGGAAGCTAGTAGATAAGAGCCTATTAGATGTACTGCACCCAGGCAGAATTGCTCCTCTGGTACCTAACAGGATGGACAATTGTGGAGAGTGAATATGGAGGGGCAGATGGAATGTAACCCACACAGTCAAAAACTAAGCAGTGAAGTAGAAAGAAAATCAGCTCTTTAATTTTAATTATAGGACTCAGCAGGTTTTCTTCATCTGAATGAATTCCAGGTGCTTCTGTGATGATGAGAAAGAGTTGGAGAGAAAAGGTTGATCCAGGGGTATTGTTTTTCTGCTTTCATTTTCATTCCACCAATTTCTTTCCAACAAGAATGATGTTAAAGAGTACATATTTGATTTGGAACATCTGTTCCAAAAAGGATTTTTGATAACTTGCCTAAATGCAGGGACGGCATCAAATAGAAACTTAAATTGGTATTGGAGATGTAAATTGCACTTGGGTAGGGAAATGATGGGAAGGGCAAAGCCTGAATCCGAATCCATTACTAAAGTTTTGCTGGGCTGTTCTGTTCAGTGTAGATGGTGTTGACATTTAAGCTGGGTTTCATTGCCCATCAGCCTCTATGGGTGAGGATCTCACAATCTACAAGCATTTGTACTTTGCTACAATCACCTAGGACCTCAAAACCCACACCATTGCCCCCAGGGCTGCTCTAGTTTTGTGTGTTGGTTGAACCTGCTATATCTCACCTGATGACTATTTGTATTTCACTTAAACCAAATCCTAAATCTAACACAAGCATTTAGATTAAACTATGACCTGGTATTTCCTCAGCTTCTCATTTCTCTTAATTCAATTTTTAAGAAATGTGTTTGAGGCTGGCGCCCCAGCTCACTAGGCTATTCCTTCGCCTGCGGCGCCGGTACCCCGGGGTTCATGTCCCCGTTGGGAAGCCAGTTCTGTTCTGGTTGTTCCTCTTCCAGTCCAGCTCTCTGCTGTGGCCCAGGATGGCAGTGGAGGATGGCCCAAGTGCTTGGGTGCTGTACCCGCATGGGAGACCAGGAGGAAGCACCTGGCTCCTGGCTTCAAATCAGTGCAGCGCGCCAGCCGCAGTGGCCATTTGGAGGGTGAACCAACGGAAGAAAGACCTTTCTCTCTGTCTCTCTCTCACTGTCTAACTCTGCTTGTGTCAAAAAAATGTGTTTGATGTACAATTATTATTTGTCAATAAAAAACCCAATTCACTGAGTTAGTGTGCTGTTAAGCATGGAAACATCAATTTCATTACATTTAAGTTAGACACTAATAGTTATTGATATGCAGCATCAACTCTTGATATTTGTGTTATTTGAATCTTTATTGAAGAATGAAACTGAAAATAATAATGGTAATAATTTATGTAGGCTCACATTTTTCCAACTGAATGTTGTAGAAATTTCTACACATTATTCCATAGCATAGTAGGCCCTGAGACCAATTCAGTTTGTCACTGGATGTAATGAGAAAAGGGGAAAAGAAATTTAGAAATGCTCTGAGTCTTGGCCCCAACCCTTTCCAACTAAGGAATTGGGCCCCCTTCTTCATCTGTAGAATGGGGTGATGTTGATGTTGATGTCACACGAGGATAAGGTGAGAGAGTGTCGAAATGCTTATACCTGTGCTGGCATAGAGGAAGCACCAAATATGTCTGTTGATGAGTTCAATAAACACCATTGTTCAGCTTTCACTTTACAACTTGTTCCCACTGATCCTGCTAAAAAATTTAGTGGCAGCTTTTGGAAATATTGTATTACATGAGGATATTTATGTTACATTATACAGGATTCTATTGACTTCAGAGAATTTATTTTTAAATCTAACTTATAAATAAATTAGGAGATGTAGTAGCTAGAATAATGCCCCATTCCACCCCTAAAATAATATATTCATGCCCTAATGTATGGGTCCTGTGAATGTTTTTCTTTACATGACCACAGAGGCTTTGAATGCATGAATAAATTAGGGTCTTGAAATGGAAGATTAGCTTGGATTATCCAAGTGAACCAAATTTATTCCTTAAAGAAGGAGAATTTTTCTCAGCTGAGTGAAAGGAAGATTGTAGAATGCTCAAGAAAATCTTACATTGCCAGGAGGTCATGAGCCAACGCAGGTGCCCTTTAGAAACTAGGAAGGCCAAGGAGACTAATTCTTCCCCAGAACCTTGGGAGACCTTAACTTCAGCTCAGTTAGTGCTTGTGGGACTCCTGACCCATTGCTGTATGTTAATAAATATGTGCAATGTTTAACTACTAAATGTGTAATAATTTGTTATAACAGCAAATACAAAACTAATATAAGAAGTAAGGAATGGTTTATCAAGATATTTTCACTTAAAAATGTGAGAGGCAGAGAGACAGAGAAAAACACATAAACTGAATGAGCTCCCATCTGCTGATTCACTCCCCAAATACTTGCTAGAGCCATGTCTAGGCCAGGCTGAAGCTGGAAGTCAGAGAAGTAATAGGAGTCTCCAATACGAGTGGCAAAGACACAACTACTTGAGGATGCACCTATATTTTCCCAGGGTGCACACTGCCAGGGACTTGGAGTTGGGAGTAGAGCCAGGACTCAAACCAAGGCATTCTGATAAATGTTCATCCCAAGATGAACTAGATGTTTCTAATACCATTTGTGTATCCATATTAACTTCCTTTTATTGGCAGGAATCTGTGTGAGATTTTTATTTTTTATGAATGACAAGGAGAGCAAGGGAAAGAGAGTTAGAGATCTTCCATCCACTTGTTCATTCCCTAGAAGCCAGGAACTACATCTGGGTCTCCCATATGGGTGGTAGGGACCCATCTACTTGGGCCATCTTGCCCTGCTTTCCCAGGCACATTAGCCAGGAGCTGGATAGAAAGCTGGGTAGCTGGAACTTGAGCCAATGTTCAGACATAGGATGCTGGTGTCCCAGATAGGTGGTGACTTAACTCACAGAGCCACAACAATGGACCCATGTGATGTTTTTAGTAAGGAGTTTACCCTGCCCAAATGTTAATTGTCCTTATTTGAGAAAGGGACACATCATATACTTAAGAAGCAATGTCTTGGCTGGTGCCGCGGCTCACTAGGATAATCTTCCACCTATGGCGCCGGCACCCTGGGTTCTAGTCCCGGTTGGGGTGCCAGATTCTGTCCCGATTGCTCCCCTTCCAGTCCAGCTCTCTGCTGCGGCCTGGGAGTGCAGTGGAGGATGGCCCAGGTCCTTGGGCCCTGCACCCACATGGGAGACCAGGAGGAAGCATCTGGCTCCTGGCTTCGGTTCGGCGCAGCGCGCCAGGCGTAGTGGCCACTTGGGGGGTGAACCAACGGAAAAAGCAAGACTTTTCTCTCTGTCTCTCTCTCTCTCACTGTCTATCTCTGCCTGTCTTTATAGTTAAAAAATATGAGCTTAGGGTTGCCAGATTCACCAAATAATCTTTATTTAGTATGAGCATTTACCATGCAACACTTGCAACATTCATATAGTAATATATAACTACATGTATGTATATGGGCATGCATATATTGTTTATCTGAAATTTAATTATAATCAAGTATCTTTCTTTAAGTTTTTTTTTTTTTATTTGAAATGCAAGGGGGAGTGAGAGAGAAAGAGAGAGAGAAAGAGTCTGAGACCGATGGATCTTTCATTTGTTGGTTCACTCCCAAAATGTCCCTAAAGCCAGGAGCTTGGAACTCCATCTAGGTCTCCCAATTAGGTGACAGGAGCCTGAGTACCTGAGCTATCACCTGCTGCCTCTCTTGGTGTGCATTACCAGGAAGCCGGATTGGAAGCATAAGCGGGATTCAAACTCAGGCACTCGGATACAGGATACAGACATCCCAAGTGGCAGCTTAGCCTGCTGTACCATAATGCCCCCTCTTAATTGAGTGGCTTATTGTTATCCAGCAGTGTTACCTGGAGTAGAATCACAGTGTCATGCCATACCATCCTAGGCCAGTGGGTCTCAGAGTATACTGAATATCAGAGCAGCCCACAGGGCCTTTACAATACTGATGGCGGAACCATTGTTTCTGACAGTATGAAAGAGGAATGCATATGTGCAAGTAACAACTCAAAGAATTATCTCCCAATTACACTGTGAGCAAGAATCACCCGGAAAACTCTGGAAAATATGGAATCCTGCTTTTATCCCAGCAGTAGGTCTCAGTAGGCCTGGAGGGGGAGTCAAGACTTCCTGCAAACAAGCGTCCCAGGTGATTTTGATGAAGAACCTATGATTCACACCCTAAGAAACCCAGATTTCACCTCACTGTGGCAACATTAAGCGCAGCGAAACAGTGCACATGTGTTATGAAGATTTGATATCACAGGATGTTGGAAAAATTGCTATAACCACAGTCCTCTGATTCCTTCTCTTTTCCCTTGAGTTCCACCACTTCCATGAAGCTTTCATTGATTTCTTTAGCTGTGTTGAACTCCATCTCTCACCTCTACCTTCTAATAGCAGCAGAAGCTTATGCTGCATAGTTTAGTACAGATGACAAGTCATACTAAGTAGTTCTGTCTAATTTCAGGGTATTCATCTTGCTTTCCAATGCATCCTACGTTGTCTATGGATGAGTAGAGGAAACAAGCATCTCATACAATGTTTTTATGTTTAATTTCCAAATGACTTTAAAAGCTTGATATTTTCTTCGGTGTTGTTCGATATTCTGCCGTGTCTCCATGTCATTTCCACTGAAAATTTACATGCTGATACATGCAGTTCTGTGCACATGTGCTTCCCATAACCCACTCCTCCTCTCCTGCAAACAAACCAGGGTCAGATCCCTTGTCTCCACCCTCTTGTGGTCTGTGCCATGTCTGCCCCACTCCCCCATCCAGTGCACAAGGTCCAGTTTGCAGTATATCCCCATGGACTGTGTGGCCAGCACCCTATGGAAAACACATTGAGCACGAGAACAAGACTTTTTTTTTTCCCTCTTCCTCAATTCTTGGCGCCTGCACTCTCACAATTCCTGCTTGGAAGGACATGAATCCAAGGAGCCAGGCATCTGTCCTTCTAGCCCAAGGCCACCTGGGGCTTGCCTGAATGGGTTTGAGTGTCAGGAAATTACTGACTGCAGGGTCAACCAGGCAGTTCACAGAAAAATAGCTCACATTGTTCTTAATGTGGGGAATAATATCTACAAATATCCCAGTGTGGTGTGGAGGAACAATAGTGGTATAAATCACCCACTTCCCCTGCCCTCACCCCATGAGACAGACAGGGCTTCACACGGCATGGGTAGCCAACCAATGCTTTTTGGGTCATACAAGGTTGTTAAACAAATCCAACAGCCTGGCTTCTATGTGTGGCGTGCTTCCTCCAAGTCCTCGGTGTGATAGACTGTAAGACCAGGAAAAAGTAGAGATGTAGGTGTTAAAAAGGACTAGGTTCAAACCCAGCTCTGCCATCAATAGGTAAAAGAGCTTAGTAAGTGTATTAAATTTGCTTCAGTTTGTATGTTCAGCATGCATTGTAGTGGCTGCTTTTCCAATTTCGTTTTGTGCTCAGTGTCGCTCCCCCTCTTCGTGGAGGAACGACACAGAACCCTGCGCTGTTCTTTCGTCTGCTCGGCCCTCCCCGGGTCTGCTGCTGGTTCTTCCCGGGTTGGCTACCGTCCCTTCCACCTCCGTGGAAGGGCGGTTCCCCCTGCCACTTTTCCCCACTTCCGCGGGGGAGCGGCACACCGCCGGCCGGCTCTCTCGGGGGCTGCACAGGTGTTCCTTCAGATAGATGTTCCCCTTAGATGTTCCTGGTGCATGCTGTCTCTCTCCTCCCTTATAGTCCTCTTCCGCCAATCCCAACTCGGCTGCCCACACGCTGAGTATGCTGCTCTCCTCCAATCAGGAGCAGGATCAGCTCCTGGAGGTCATCACTCAAGTTGGCAAGAGGCAGCTGCGTAGAAGCTGTTTCTCCCTTCTCAGCGCCATATTGTGGGAGAGCAGATGCATAGAATAAGTCTTAATTCCAGTAACTTAGTCTAGTCCGGGTTGCTCCCCACACTCAGAAACTGTTTACTTCCAAGAGATCTACTCCTCATGGTGAGCCATGAGGAGTATCCAGGGTTCTGCTCAGGCCTCCTCCAGGGAGAGCCCACCACTGACCAAATGCTTCCAGATCTAAAGGATATGAGGCCACTCAGGGCTCAGCTGTGGCTAGCTGAGTCTTATTGGCACAGATATTTACCCTTGTGATACACACCTGATGAGCTCAGTGAGCCTCCAAGTAAGTCATCCTGGGGAGGCTGGGGCATGTGCCAGTCACTCTGCTTCTACATCCAAGGTAACCTCCACATCATTAAGATGCATTCCTGAAGGGAGAAAGGGTAACACAGGAATGATACACAGTGAGCAGGAGTGGAGGGCTATCTGGGGAAGGGTGAAGGGTCCAGAACCAAGTACCCAGACCGAGGTATTGTGATGCAGAAAATCAAGTTAGGAACTCAAGGAGTAATTCAAAGCTAAGGTTGGAGTGTGGTCTGTCTCTGGCACAAGGCACTTAATGCTCTCTGTGCCTCAGTTCCATGATCTTATTAAAGAATGTCTACTTCACCACATGCCTGTGGTAAAGTGTGTGCCATTTTCCTAAAATCAAAAAAAAAAAGAAAAAGAAAAAGAAAATTTCCTTCCAAATCTTCTGCAGAAATTTCCTTGGCCAATTGTGACTGGAGGCAAAATCACCTGCCAGAGCATGACCTAGACTAGTAATAAGGCGGAGTAGTCCTAGTTCTCCCTTCTGTAGAGTGATCGCAAAATCACAATATTCAGGGTAAATATTAGACTGTTCAGAGAAAATTTCTTTATAAACTACAAATGACACACACTGCTCTCTTGTTTTCTTTTTAAATTTATCATTTTTTGTCTTCTTTTTTCCTCTAGTCTTCTCTCCTAATACTCAGAGACCAGGACAGACCCACTGGGTCAGAGAATGACGTTAGCTTTCATAAGGAGACAGTTTAAGGAAGCCCACCTGGATCAGCACCTGGAGCTCATGTGAGCCAACTGCACAAAGCCGGTCTCTCCTGTGGACCTGATCTTGCTCATCAGGTCACTTGCAAAGCAAGCAGGAGACTTGAAGTTGGTCTGGCAACTGGATCAAGGCAGACTTGAGGACCTTTTCCTAGTATTTCAGCATAACACAGGGATTTCATAACGTTAATAATAAGGTCACTTGTTACATCATCAAAATTGATTTAATTAATTTATTTGAAAGATTTATTGTTTCTACTGTGTGTCAGATATTTGGAATATCTTAGATAGCAATACTGAATTTTTTTATAATAAAACAACACAGAACTTGTTAGAGAGATATAAAAAAGAAAATTACAAATTTGTGGAATTGGCACTGACATGGTGGCATAATGGGTAAAGCCGCTGCCTGCAACGCTGGCATCCCACGTGGACACCAGTTCATGTCCCAGTTGTTCCATCTCTGACACAGCTCCCTCCCTGTTAATGCTCTGGAAAAGACAGAACAATATGATCCAAGTGTTTGGGCCCTGCACTCACGTGAGAGACCCGATGAAGCTCCTGGCTCCTGGTTCCTGGCTTTGGCTTGGTCTAGACCAGGGCATTGTGGCCATCTGGGGCATGAAACTGGCTCTCTGTCTCAGTCTTTGTCTCTTTCTCTCTTTGTCTCTCTCTCTCTGTAACTCTTTCAAAATAAATAAATCTTTTTTAAAAGTGGAATGCAGTTTGCTGTGGGCATATATGATTGCCTCACATTTGGGGAGGAGGGCTAAACGTAACCAGTTGGTGAAGTTCAGGTGGATCTAAGCCACCCCTATCCCCAATGTTCACAGATAAAGCAGATAAACAGCGCAGGCTGGAATGTGAGTTACACAGGAGTACATTGCTTTTCTCCTGAATCCACTGACATTCCTCCAGGGTGACAAATTGGGAAAGGTGGGAAACTAGGACCTTGAGTTATCAGATCTCCTAACCAGAGGGAGCTTGTCTGACTTTGGATACAATGCCCAGAGGGAGTAGGAGAAAGAGAAGAAAACACAACATCATTGGACCCCTTGTATTCAGCAATGCCTGAATCCAGGAAAGACCCAGGGTCTGTCTCATAGAGTAGCTAAAATTGTGTTTGAATTTTGCAAGAAAAAAAAAAAAAAAAACAACCCTAAATGGTAGAACTATGATAATGGGCATGGAAAGTTCTGTTGGTCAGAGAAGACTAACTCGAAGAAGAGGAAGTGAGGGCAGATGTACAGATGAGGCAGGACATGGTGAGTTTAAAAATTACAAAAATTGTCGTTATTCTACAACAAATTTGCAATTAGTATGAACATACATGTACATGCCTACATGCTGACACACATATGTCCATGTGTGTGCATGTATATGTGCATGTGCAGGTATGTGTATTTCTGTGTGCATGCATGTGTTTGTCCATGTGTTCACATGCTGAGGGAGGGAGAAATGAATGTGGAGAGAGATGATACAAGAAGCATTGACTCGTATCACTGTCCGTGTGTTACCTGATCATGTCAGTTTCTTTTTTCTGTGAATTATAAATGCTTGTATTGAATTCATAGAGATGATGTGAAGTTTAAATAAGACTAACAAAGTAATGAGTGTGAAAGCTTTGTCCACTTAGAAGGCCAGTTAAACAAAGAACCTGAAGTCCCTCCTAGGCTGCCATCTGTACTGGCTACCAAGTTATTTGTGGATAATCTGCGCCACTAGCTCTCCCAGATGCATCACTGGGAGACCATGGGAACAACCTGCAGTGTTCCACCAGTAGACAGACATCTGCACCCACCACCTGCTTTGGGCTGTGCAGCAGAATGGAGAGCCCATGGAACAGCATCAGCAGATGTCAGTCATCAGCCCCTCAATGTGCGCACAGAGCGTAGAATGCAAAACTGGTCATGAGATTCCCCGTAGATCTTCCTATGTCAGCAACTACTTGCGCTAAAGCGCCACCCTCTTCAACCTCCACGTCTTCAGCAGTCAAATCAGGCAGAGGAACTTACCTCCAACACTAGTTCCACTTCCATTAACCAAGTGATTGCAACATCAGCCAGGGAAAAATAATAATAATATAACAAATATTTAGTAAGTGCCTTATATATGCCAGGCACAATTCTACACACTGATGAATTATCTGCAGACTCAGTTATTCACAGTCTCCTATAAATGCAAAGCATAAATAAACCAACAAAGACAGTATCCCTGCTTTCAAAGATTTTACCTACAATTGGAAGAGGCAAGAAAGAGAATGTAAGAATAATATGCCAGGATGTTTCTGATGGACACAAATACTATGAAGATACAACCACACACACACACACACACACACTCACACACACACATGCATACATACACCAGGGAAAAATGACCGCGTCAGGTAAGCGGGCACACTGGAGGTATGTGTTAGAGATGGCTGTCCAAGGAGGGTGTGGAGTCTCAGAATGGGTTGAGGGAGTCAGCTCTCTGGAGCTCCGCGTCACGAGAATTCACAGGCCTAAGAGAAAACGCAGATTCTGAGACTGCAGCACTCTGGAAGTTCTATAGGGATGACAGAAAGTCAGTATGGCTAAAGAATATTGAAGAAAAAAAGTAAGTCAAACATGATGAGACCAGCAGGAAATGAGGGTCCAAGAGCATAGGACTCTGTTAAAAACATTAATGAGTTTGAATATCTTTTCTAAGGGTAATAAAAATCACTACAGGGGGTGTACATTGTGGTACAGCTGGTTAAGTTATCACATGGGATGCCTACTGCTCTGTCTCCAATCCAGCTTCCTGATAGTACACCTGTGAAGCAATGAATGATGACCCAAATGTTGGAATTTCTGTCACCCTTGTGGGAGACTTGGAGAGAACTCCTGGCTTCTGGCTTCATCCTGGCACACCTTTGGCTGTTGGGAGCATTTGAACCAGCAGATATAAGATCTTTCTGTCATTTCACCTTTCAAATAAATACATAAATAAATCCATTTTTTAAAAGTCACTGTAGCTGTAGAGTCCATACAAAGAAAAGATAGGATATGATTTGCAGTTCTTAAGGAATGTATTAATTTGCTGGGACCACCATGATAAGATGCCACAAACCGGGTGCCTTAAACAACAGAGGTTTGGATTGGCATTGTATCATAGTGGATTAAGTCACCACCTGTAACGCTGGCAACCCATATGGGCCAGTTTGAGTGAGTCACAGCTACTTCACTTCAGACCCAGCTCCCTGCAAAGGAAGACAGCCTAAGGCTTGAGCCCCTGGACCCCCATGGGAGAAATGGAGGAAGGTCCAGGTCCCTGGGTGTGGACCAAGCCAGCTACTGCTGTTGCAGACATATGGGGAATGAATTTCTCTATATATCTCTCTCTCTCTCTCTCCCTCTCCCTTTCCTTCTCCCTCTCTCTGTAACTCTGCCTTTCAAATAAATAAACATATAATAAAATCTTTAAAAAAAAAAAAAACACGGAAGTTTATTTTCACACAGTTCTTGAGGCTGGAAGTCGAGATCAAGATGCCAGTGGGATCAGTTTCTTCTAAAGCCTCTCCCCGGGCCTGCAGATGGCCACCTTCTCCCTGTGTCTCCATGTGGCCCCTCCTCTGTGGATGCACATGTTTGTGTCCACATCTCCTCTTCCTGTAAGGACAATGGCTTTGTTGTATTAGGGTCCCTGGGGAAGACTTCCTTTTAATGTTTCACCTCATTAAATAACTTGCCTCCAAATACAGTTACATTCGGTGACACTGCAGTTAGGAATTTCATATCTGAAGTTAGGCTTTCAGGGAGTGATTCCCTGGGCTCCTGCAGGAGGAATGACTGTGCAGGGAAGGCAGGGGAGAGGAGTAAATACCAGGAGGTCGCCTCAATGAACAGAGATGAGAGATAATAAAAGCTCAGACAAGCATGATTCCAAAAGAGATGGTGAACAGTGGTCAGATTTGGGATATATTTTGAAGACTGAATTGAAAAAGGTTGCAAATAGATTGGTAGTAATCATGTACGGAAAGGAGAAGAGTAATTGAGTGAACCATGTTGGCATTTACCAAGAGGAGGATGACAAGAGAAGTAGAAATTTTGAAATTTAAGAAGAGTTTTATTCTGGATGTAGTATGGTTAGCATGCTTATTAGAAGTCAAGGGGAAATTTTTAACTCTTTGCAGCCCAAGGAAAGGTCAGAATTCAAGTTAGCACACAGTTGGTCTATAAAATTGTGAATTTGAATAAGATCACCAAGCAGACAGTCAAGACAGAAAGGAACCCTGCAGACTCCAGTGTTTCCAAGATTGAGCAAGGAGGAAAACCAAGCAAAGGGATGAGTAGTAGTAGCCTCAGAGGGAGAAGCCAAGGACAATGGACCCTGGAATCCATGGGAAGTGTATTTTAAAGAAACACCAGGGGGGCAGCACTGTGGCATGGCAGGCTAACACTTTGCCTGCAGCGCTAGCATCCCATATGGGTGCTGGTTCATACTCTGGGTGCTCCTCTTCCAATCTAGCTCTCTGCTTATGGCCTAGGAAAGCAGGTCATAAAAAAGCTGGAAGATGGCCTAAGTGCTTGGGCCCCTGAACCCATATGGGAGACCCAGAAGAAGCTCTTGGCTGCTGACTTGGGATCAGTTCAGCTCCAGCTGTTGCAGTCATCAAGGGAATGAACTAGTGGATGGAAGACCTTTCTCTCTGCCACTACCTCTCTCTGTCTTTAATCTCTTAATAAATAAAATCTTTAAAGAAAAAAAGACAAAGAAACACGAGTTAATTCTGTTATATGTTCTGGAGAGACTGACAACAAGGAGAGCTAGATAACTGGGCTTTGGATTTGGGAGATAGAGGTTGTTAATGACCTTTGACAAGAGCAGCTTCACCCAATAGTGGTGGTGAGATAGAGATAGGAAGTGAGAAAACAAACTTTGCAAATCAATTTGTTGAGATATTTCGTAAAAGACAAAGTAGAGATCTAGGGTGGTTAACTGGATAGAGTTGTGAGTTTTGGCAGAGAGAGTTTAGAAAATGTTTGGTTTTCAGAGTAGGAGATATTAGAACATGTTGATAGTTCAACAAATAAAAATACATAAACAAGACTAGTTTCTGCTAATACTAACTGATAGAATAAAAAAGGGAGAGAACGATCCAACATGGGAAGTGGGATACACAGCACTCATAGAATGGCAGATGTCCTAAACAGCAC